CAACCTACACATATCTACTACAGCTCTTACTTGAAGGAGTCCCCCCCATGGCCGCACATCAACCGGTCCCGATCCGGTCCCCTGGTCCCGTCCCACGCTCTCCCACGCATATCAACTCCGAAACTCGGTGATCAGCACGGGCCCTGGGCAGCCCGGGCGGCATGGTTTGGTTCCAGGTGATCAGCAAAAAGCTGAGCCTCGGGATGCAGGGCTCGTAGGGTCCACGAGTCCACGAGGAGGATGAGGTCCACACGCTGCAAAGGTTACAGGCCAAGCAACAAACAGTTGACTGGCAGGTTGACTTCGGAAAGTTGGGTATGTTTTGGGTGTATAGGATATGGATAGCTAGGTTATATGTTATATCATCTTTAAAACCAGCCTATGAAATACTGTACCATTTCCCTCCACAAAACCAAAGGCTTAACCCCAAAACACCCACAAATGAACAGGAGACCAACGGGACCAGCGGGCCCATGCGGGGGGCGGGGGCATGCGTTCAATACACCCATCCGAACTCGTCCTCCCAAGTTCTTTCCCAAACGCTCCACGAGTGAACTGAACGTGTATGCCGCATGCCTCCGACCCCGTATATAACACACACACACACATGCCAGTCTCTGTTTGAGTCGAACTGTGAAGCATCCCAAATTGTCCATCATGGGTCATGACAGAGTCATGCGGGTCACCACCTTGACTTGACTCTCCAACATGGATGCCCCAAAACCACCATAGCGACTGATATTGGCCGGCTGATCTTTGAAAAAGCTGCCTGGTGAGGCCTTTCCCAATCTTTCCCATACTATCGTCAATGAAGAATTCTGAAGTAGAGATGAAACTGTTTGCACCAAAACACCCAATCAAATCACCGAGCACCCGCAAGTACTTCTTCCGAGAGCGTGCCACCCTCCATTGCCCCATCCATCGCCCAAGAAACCATCCACCGATCAAGCCGCACAAACACCCAGACCTTGGAGAAATCGCTCCGGAAAACAAACGACGCAAAAAATGACAGGTACATTGGATTGGTGGAACCGGTTGTTTGCCATACACTTTCCAGACATGGAGGGTCTGGTTGGACTAATTTCAGAGTAGATACATGTCCAAATTTGGTCGTTTAGATGGACGAGCCTGCGGATGTTGGCTCTTTGGATACGATCTGGGCAGTACATGCTCAAAGCAAACGCATCTAGCTGTCATTGTAAACTTTCGCAGCTAGTGTTACCAAAGGCTTCAACTTCATGGACTCATGGCAAAGACAGTCAATGACATCTCTTCATTCTTGAAATTGTGAACATACTTGTCATCACTGTTGTCTCGGTCACCTTCAGAACCACCGGTTTCTAGAAATCACTGATGTCGTGCCCATTACTGGGTCAATCTTCCTCATCTCTTCGTGAGAGCTGACAGATTGCCATTCAACACATCGACACTCTCATTCGTGAAAACAAGTCTCGAAGCCGCATTATGAAAGCTCGAATTTATAGCTTCTTTATGTGCCCACCAGCCGTAATATGGTCTCTCAAGCGAAAAGACATCAGACTTAGTAAGCAAGGCGACAACACAATGACTTGGTGGCGGCAAAGTCTGACAAACGACTGTAGATCTGAGTCTCGTGTAGAGATGATCAGCTACTCACTGAATCACCCTGACACAAACCTCAGGTCACATTCCAACGTCCACGTGAAGGAGAAAAGTTGACTCTTGATGAATAAAGCCACCCATATTCGATCAAGAGTCGATCTACAATTTATATCAATTATATATGGTTTGTATAGACGAGCTTGGTCTTTCACGAGTCCAGGGTGTTGGGTTTGGTGCATCTCGTCTTGTAGGAAACGACTCCGTTTCTGCAGGCGCCTAAGGACACACCAGTGTTCGTTGCACGACCCTCCACGATCGACCCTCAATGGCTTACACTCCGACCGTCGGTGAACAACAAGTAAGTTGTTGTACATCCTTCGTAATATAAAACATTATCTTAGAGTAAATATGCAAATACAAGCAAATCAATTCCAACAAAAACTATTGAAGCTAAGTAGGGATGCCATTGCTTCCACCAACCTTCACCCCTCCATCCATCTGCTACCAATATCTACCAATCAATAATCACACCCATCTACACCCCATCCAATCCCCCATCTCCGTCTGCTTCACACCTGGGTCATCCCGGACGAGCCCACACCCAACACCGCGGGGTGCAGCACCTGAGCGTCTTCGTTCTTCAGAACGGGCTCCCAATGAACGAGGGACGGACGGACGGACGGAGGAGACGTTTGGGGGTTGGATGGTTGGGAATAATAGGGAAAACCCTCCACCAAGGGGTTCTATGAGGTTGTATGGTCTATGTTCCAAACTGTCCAGGGGATCAACTGGGGCCCAATACTCAGCCATTTCCCACCGGCATCGAAGGACCAGGCCTTGCACTGCGCTTCTTGGATCGTTCCGGGCTTCTGTCAAACACGGCTTTTGGGGTGTCCCACCTCGAGCGTCGAGCATTTTTGTTGGATTTATACGTGTGTTGAAAGAACTCTTGGCTCCGGTGAAACAAACATAGACTCTCGCAGCCCCCTGAACAGGCTGGCTGGAATGGATGCTCGTGGAGTCCCCGCAAAGGCTTCTTTTGCAACCAAGCATGGTTTTAAATAGAGCTGTGTAATATGACTGTCCCTCACAGGAGTGCAGCATCCTGAAGGGGAACCTCAAGCGAACCTGATATGAGCTTGCTCGGGTATTCTGGTGTACTAGCTTAATTCTAGAAGTCCTTTTGCTTAAGGGACATGTCACACATGACAAACACAAGATCATTCTGCCCTTTTCCAGACCATGAGACTGGAATAGTTGCCTACATTGACCCCATGGATGACCCCAATGTAAGTACACCATAGTACAGAGACCTACATGGAACCTGATGGCATGCACCTCCTGCAAGGAAAACTGGTCGCTTCCTCCACAACTCAGTGGTTTTCAGGTTCCGGTCTCTTGAACAAAATCTATTTTGCCCGGGCTGGACACCATTCGGCTCAACCTATCCAACCCCCTCCACTCGTTCCCGGTGCCCCCACGCAGCTCAGCAGGTTGGCATAGATTCCGGAGGAAAAGTAGATCAACAGCCAGGCCTCGAAAAACTGAAAGCGACTCGGATGGTCGGACCGAGAGGCAAGGTGAGCTCTATAGAGAATACGCACAGCACACGTGATGTAGGCCATTCACCTTATACTGCATCACAATGTAGGCCACTCACCTTATTGCTCAATAGGTTTGCCGAACTTCTGCCCCATATCTGTCGACACAACAAAACATCAAACCTTGGATCTATTCGACAATTATGATATAAAATTTTGATGCACAAACTTTTGTTTTCAGCACATCCCCCCAGACGCGGCGTGAACCGTACGGCAATACTTTGACTTTTCCCGCGATCTGAACTAGGCGGCAAAACCCTGGAAAAAAACGACGCCTTTTGGCACACGGACGGGGGGACACCCGAAATAATTGCTTTACTCCTGCTTGAGGTTCATGAAACCGGTCCAATGGACAATTTCCCCAAAAGTATCTCCGCACTTCATCGCTTCGGTCTAGCCATTGATCATCTTGATCCCCACCTGGTCCTGATATACTGATATGGTTGTGCGTCTGTGCATCAAAACCAGCATAATTACATTGGTAACACGACTTGTGGACACTCTCTGGGCGCTCCCCATGCATCCCTTGCGGTGTTGCACCTCGGGTTTGAAGGGGGTGAACAAAACGATGAAAGTGAGATAAATGGAGAGAAACAGCAACATGAATTATGCAGGAGTCCACCCGACATGAATCAAAATTAAGACTTGAACAGTAACCTGCTGTCATATCCATTTGCAACCATCGATCGTCAGCGGGTGGTATCTCCTTCCAAATTTGTTTTGTCGTTACACCGTTACACTATCTAAAATGTCTACCTGTGTTCCTTTTCGGTGACGGGTCGGGCCATGGACAACATGGTCCCAGGCTGTTGTTTTTTGGAGACTTTTGATAAAATCTTGACGCAAATCAATGAGTAGTCCTCCCTGTCCCGTGACCTGAACATTTGCCGAGAGTTGCCGGGATACTGCTTTCAAACTGGTTGTTGGATCATACGCGAACATTGTTCGAACTGCAAATGCCTGCCTATGATTTCCTACCAATACGTTGGTTGCTGCACGTCTGAGCCGAGCTTAACAAAGAGCTTATCATTAATTTGTTGTGCTTCAGTTCCAAAGAATATTGCTGGCCAAACTGCTGTCTGAATTATTCGTCCTTTAATCTGTAGATCGAGGCTCAGCTTTTGCAATCTTTCAAAACGAACTGGTGGTGATCTTGGACGCGCTCCAATTTCGTGACAGGTGCGGTGAATCGTGACTTTTCTACGTGTGGCAGGTTTTCAGAATTCGTGGCATGCGCAGCACTTTGTGGACCTTGCAAGAAGCGCAGATTTCGTGGCACGTTCGGAGGTGGCCATGAACGTCCAATCGTCCGCATAGGCAAATTTTGGGCTGGAAAGCTTATGATAGAAGACATAGCTACTGGACAGCATTTCTACGACTGAGAGGGCGTCGCCTTCGGGTAAGCCGGTCGTGGATCCAAGCGGTTTTCCAAGTTTCTGGCCTATCTGTATTGTTAAGCGCCTGCTTTGCAATGATTGAAGCCAGAAGTTGGTTATCTGATGACTGCCGCCCAAGTGATTTAAAACAGCAAATTGGACGCTTTTATCAAGTCGAGTGCCGGCCCGCACCTTGTACAGTATTATGTGATGAGAGGTCGCGGGCTGACGGTCCCGGCAGCCCTCCGGATATACACATTGGCCATCGGGTTGACCATGTTTGTAGAAGTTGGTTTGCCACTAACTTGGATGTAATATGTGGGATGTAACCGAGGATCATGACTGAAGAGTCAATTTACCTCAGGCCTTGTCCGCTTGCTTAGCGCTTCGCTCAGCCAGCGTCGACACCGCCAAGCATCCAGCATCGCCAACCATAGACACCGCCTCGGACTGGATATGGAGGAATCCCTGATTGCACCTTGTCTCTCCTGGACTCCTGGCCTAGGCTGGTGGCAGGAGGTGGGGCAAACCAGGATGGATGTGGGCCTGGAATCACCTACAACTCTAGTCGTCCATGTGACAGGTGCACTGGTCGACTGTGTGCGTCTCTGCCGGCTTCGCCTGGTGGCTCAGGCTGAACAGGCGTCTGAGCCATCTGAGCCTGTTGAGTTTCGGCTGCATTGGACCCACTGATTTTTGGATGTTTTCATGCAAATTTGGTGCATCTTCAACCACCGTCTTCAACTAACCAAGGTTGCAGTGGATGATGATTCTGACGAAGAAGACGGGCTTCAAGATCAGCCAAAAGCAGGAAGCCTAGCAACGCTTCAAAGTATTGTGGGTAGCAGCATCATGTAGAATGAAATGTTCTTAGCTGTCCACTGTGAGATTCTCCAAGCGTTGAAAGAAGCAGCCAGCTCCGAAGAAAAGGCCGATCCCAAGCAGTGTACCTGGGTTCATGTGCCTGATTGTCATTGCGTGGACATGGGCCATACCAAGGAAGCTGAGAGCTCGAAGCGCTCAAAGAAGCCTCCTTTGCCTTTGCCGAAGGCAACTTCACCATTGTTTTGATTGTCACTGTCACTGTGTGATCTAGTTTCATTTTGTCCTGCTCACTCTCAGGATTGTGATCTCAGCGACATCAAGGACACTACATGGGGTGCACCACTGATCCTTCCCTTGCAAAGAGAACTTCATTCAAAAAATTGCGACACCACACATCCTTGTTTTTTGGACACTTTCTTCCAGCGATTCTGATTTGGGTCGCAAATTGATGACAAACCCCTATGGCTGGGCGGATCCTTCAACTACAAGGAGCTGACGAATAGATCTTCTGGTGGCCCGTGGGTGATCCTGAATTGCCAATGTGACCAGTAGCTTGGCAGCCTTTCTCCATAGATTGATTGACCTGTTTTCATTGTAACGCTGACTTGAACCTGTTTTCATTGCTGTGTGGGGGGCACTGCTGAGGCATCACGATAAAGCTTTGCAGATGGTTCCTGACGGATGCTCCTTGCACTTCACCAACCCAAACTGGGGGCAAGTGTGGTGGGCATTGGTGGAGGCGATGAGGGTATGCATGGAAGCATTGCGCTCTGGAGGAGCAATTGTGGTGCACTGCAATGCTGGCCGGCACAGGGCGCCACAGGTATGCTCGGCTATCTTGATGGGCCTTGACCAGATATCCTACAGCGAAGCTGCTCCTTGGCCAATTGGTCATTGTGCGATATTGTGTGTTGTCATTGTGTGATATTGTGTCTTTGCTCCCTGACTAGAATTGTTGGAACCTGAGGTTGGCATCGTCAAAGCCTATCGTCCTCAGGAAGAGTTCTGGAGAGCGCAACTTGATTGCACATCTTACATCATATAGTTTGTGTCAGTGCAATTATTTGCTATTCCGCTTGTCTTTTTCATTAATACACAATTCCTTTGGCTGAGGAGATGGCCCGGAGAGCGTGATCGCTTCAAGGAGGCAACGCAGAGCTCGGCGAAGGTGAAGGAAATTCACCAGATCTTCGCCGGGTGAAGTGGTGAAAAAAATTCTCTGCGCGGCCATTGCAGCAAGAGGTCTTACCACATCATTCATATAAGTCAACGCACCGACATTTAGCAGTTGTTCAATTCTTCAATGCTTGTTGGCTGTTACAACTGTTTTCAAACTATTGACGATCAGGTCATGCGTCCGCCTGGCTTCAATGTTCCAGCCTCAGGACAGGATAGTTCAGTCGTAAAGACACTGATCAGTTCAGAGCTAACAAGTTGTGAGTTCGCATCAGCAAGCTGTTGGTCTTTTTTCAAACATAGTCGCAGTGTGAGGGTTTCCTCACTTTCGATCTTTCTTCACGGTCTTTGACTTGCTCTTGCTCTTCTGGGGCTGCACATCCGTCAACCATTCCAGTGGCTCCAACTTCATGGCGATGACCGGGCCAGCGTACTTCTTCCCAAGGTTCATGCAACAATCCTAAGTTGAAAACACATTGAAACAACACCCATTTTTTCTCAGAACATTCTGAACTTAAACTTGATCTCAATTTATGCTTTCAAACTGCAGTTGAGATTCCAACGCATCTTCCAATGACAAGCCCGGCAGGACCACATCCACCCCCACTGTCTTCAAACACTCGGACAAGTTGGCGAAGCATTGCGAATGGACGAGGCGTGTGACAAGCCTCTCATCTTTGTACCAATGCCATTTGATCACTTGATTGTGAGCGATGCTTGTCCACATCTTTGTCGCTGGACGGATTTCAAACACCTTTGTACCCTTGTAGATGTCCTTCGCATAGCATTTCTTAATCGTGAAAGTCTTGGCGGTCATGGAGGACGCAATGCGATGGCAATGCGATGCCGGGTTGCTGGCGGGGGGCTTGGGCCACAAGCAGTGACTCGGTCATTTGTTGCCATGTTGAATGGTCTTGGAAACGACCCAGTCAAGAGGTCGCTCAAGTTCATGACATCCTTGATATCGAGTGAGCCTTAAGTAGCCTCTGCCATTTGAACTCTTCCTCTAGTTCGTGCTCAAGGAATCGTGGTGTCCAGTCTTCCATTGACACATTAGCGCTCCCTTCCCTGCACCATCTTGACCAAGTCTCCTGGAGCGCTTGCTTCCATGCCAGGTTCAGCAACCCTCAGTTTCATAGTGAATGTGATGGGGATTGGGTGCCCTGAAAAATGACGAGGGAGATACAGGATGGCTGGGTAATATACCACAGCACAGTGTGGACTCATGATGCATTCCACAGCCTATCACTTTCCAACTCACTCATTCGCTATTCCAATCTGCTCTTGGATGCAAAGGAGCACCTGCAAGACCCACCCAAGACCCAATTTCACCAGTGGCGTATGCATCTGCCAAAGGCCCCAGGATGTACAAGGAGGCACGATCGAGTCTGTAGTCACCAATGCCATGCTTTGTGCAAAGAATTGTGAGCCACTGGCGACAACCTCCTTCGCAGCAGCGTAAGGAGCCTGGCAAATCCAGACTCTCCTCGATTGCTCTTTTTTCAATAGATAGATCTACTTTAAAAAAACATTTTCAATAGCCATTGAACACATACTTTTCCAGAGATTTTGTCAATAGAACATGTTGTCTAGGTGTCTCCTATTACAAAATGACAAAATCCTATTGAAAAGTCTTTGCCAACATATATAGCACTTTCCTGTTGATTTTTGTTGACAAATTTCTATTGAAATTTATTGACAAGTTCTATGGAAATTGGCTGATAGTGTCTATTGATGTTTCTTCCCTGACACACACGCACATGTCATATTCCTTGATGGCTGGATACAGGAACCTTCCCTCAGTCATCCCTTGACACTGTTTCAATGCCAAATCACCATGGCAATGCTGTTTCCAAGAAGTCATCCCCCAGTCACCACGGGAGCCAACCCCAATGGAAGCTGATACCCAAACAACTCTTGGCGTAACCTGTCCAAGTCCACAGGTGTTCCATTGCGAACTGCACTGGCAAGCCTGGAAATGACTGTGTTGTTTCCTGTACTTGTCTCGCATGTATGTGGAAAATTCCTTGTGAACTGCTTGCAGGACCCACTACAGAATAAGAAATTCATTGCTTCAGCAGGCATTATTAAACCCTTATGAGTTGCCAGTACAGCGTTAAAACACCTTTCGATGAGAGCCCCAGCATACAACCTAAAAGTAGGTCCCTTTCCAAACAACAGAGTTAGCTTGTGTTCGCGAAAAAGAGACGACTTTCCACAGAGCCTTCCCCCCAAGGCAGGTTAGCAATCACTCAAAAAAAGTGACGACATTGTCTTTTGCCTGTAGCCAGGAGTCCGAGTCCCGGCCCTCCACTGCTGTCCGTCGCGCGCGTTTCCCAGGTCCCGCTGTCGGTCGAATGCCGCTGAGTCGCAGGGGTGCCCCAAATGAACTCCAGTTGGACCTGGAGGCCCAGCACGTCCACGCGGAGGCCCACGCGTAACCGTGGGCTCGAGCCAGGCATGGCCCAATGGTAAGACGATGGCAGGACACACAACTTTTGGGGTAAGAGATAAACTTCACATAGAAAGCCCACAGAATCAGAACCCCCACTAGAAACCCTTCCCCAAGCAAGCCTGTTGGTTTGGATGTCGGTTTCACAAAGCACAAGGTCGATGAGAATCCTCAACAAGTGGTTAATTTCATGCTGCCCCGATTCCATGCTGATCAGTACAACCGTGGATGATGATGCTTCATACAAGTACAGGGCTCTACCAAACAATACAACAACATTTTACTACAGATGGTTACAATGAATAGGAATAGGGTAGATCCAAATCATACCCTATGTTTCGTTTGGCTTTGTTGAAGGTGATGAAGAACACCCCACAGTCATGTGCTCAGAACGCCCTGAACGGTACAGGACAACATTGGCTCCTTCCCCGGGCAAAAGCCCTAGGACTTGGGCAGTACCCGCGTTCTTTTGTTCCATTGTGTCAATAGCGTCAGTGCCTCTGGTGATAGACATTGAAAGCAGCAGCATCCCATCCGGGCATTCCTGCCCCACTGCAGAAGCCGGCCGAGCAACTCCCGCGCGGATCTGCACCAGCACGTTCCCCACCTGGGCGAAGAAGCTTCTCTGGAGGAAGTGTCCGATTTCCAGACCATGCCATCCGACTGGAATAGTTACGATGGGTTTGTATTGGAATAGGGAACCCCCCCTGGAAGAGGACAATTGGCCAAAACCCCCCTGGTTGCGTGATCCACTAATAAAATACAAACCCATCTATCTATATATATATACATAATTCTATGTAGTATATAATTCTCTATATATACTAGGTGATGGAACCAGGATCCGCCCCTCAAAGAGCGGGGGAATGTCGGATGAATCTCTATGACTATACACCGTCTTGTGGGTAGGGCTACAAGAGTGAGATTGTACAAACCATTACAAACACATGAACTGCCCATTTTTTGTGCTCTTGTCCCACCCTACTTTGATCAGCTTTCTCCAACCTACACACGACTGCACCTTGAGGGCTTTACCACCTAAGCTGCCTACCAACCCTGTCAAGCACAGATCTCGCCGCTTGACCCGCTCTGGGACTCCCAGGCCAAATGGATCCAGCCTGCATGCAGCATCGTAGCCTCAGGCGAAGAAGGACGAAAACCCACCGGCCACCCCCAGAAACCACATGGGTTCCGTAAGAGTCCACATGACTCATTTTACCTCTATGGTAGTGGTGGATTGTGACTTCCAGGTGGGAAAATGAGTCCTTGGAAGTTCTGCGATAGTGGGATGGATATTTTGAGGTGGTCCTTCCCGAATAGAACCCTTCCTGCAACAGCTCGATCTCAATCATTGCATTTGAGGGTTTTAAGTACCTACTGAGCTTCGGTCAATCCCCATTCCCAGCTGAAGAACACGCCTGAGGATGGAAACCTGAAGGGTGAAAGCCTGCAAGGGTGCTCCTTCTGGATTTCACCAGCTGCCTCTGGGGGGCAACGACCTGATTATCATATGTGTGTGTATTTTGAAAGGCGGACACTCAACTGCAAATGATGGCTGTTGATGTGAATTAAATTGGAAACAGAAAAATACAAATTTACTGACTGGCAAACGACAACAAACTGAACCCAACAGTGGCTATCATGACAGGTATATATTTACTTTGTCGTCCATGGTGACTGAACGTGCCAACATCTGATCTTCAAATTGTCTGATGAGTGGTTGCTTCCACAATTCGCTGGTACATACCTCAGTTACATCCCATCACCAGGTTTGCTGGACGATGGTTGCTAAGAGATTGATACGTAAACACTGTGAGCAATTTGCAAGCCGCAGTAGCAGCTGGCCGCTGGCCAGAAAGGGTATGCACTTGTTCGCTTACTTGCAGGTGCATGTTGTTTTCCTTCTGCTCTTTGTTGTGTTCCTTTCCAACAAACGCAACAACCAGTCCAAAAGTTCCAACAATGTAACATCCGGGCAGCATAATCAGCAACACAAAGGCAGTCAAACTTAGACAAACACCTCCCTCTACGGGCCTTCACTTGCAGCCTGTGGCTGGCTTGGCCTAGATTGGAGTAAACGGTCTTTACCTAGATTGAGAACTGAACAGTGTTCACTCGAGCCTATCTCTTAACGAAGCGTCTGGGACCCGTCCAGCGGACGGACGAAGTCGGTCACTCTGAGGCATCGGCCGAGGCCAAGCGCCACACCTCGCCACGGGCGATCTTTGCCTCGACGGCGCATCACGCTCGGGCGCGCAACACGCCGAGTCGAGGCGACCGAGAAGCGCGGTGTACACGGCGTCTCCTGAGGTAATTTTGGAATGGTTTTGGGGGAAAACAAATGGGTTATAAGGGATTCACCTCTTGGCTGTTCACTTAGCTGTGAGCCACTTCCGTCTTATAGATCCACATTAATTACTGTCAATCTACGGGCGATAGTAAAAGGCCGTCTATGACAACGACTGGCAGAAGATCAAACACAAACATAGCTCCTCACGTGTGAACAGGAACAAACTGTTACACAAACTGACAAATGAAATTCTGAATGAACCGCGAAGCCGAAATAAAGGGCACTATTTGTTGCTTGGAAGGCATTTTGAGCTCCTATATACACGTTGGACCATTTTGGGATAGTGGTATGTCCTTTGTTCCAGTTGGGATTCCCAAATTTACTTACAAATAATTAATGCACAGGCCAGGAAGGTTCTGATACAACAGGCCTAAAGTGTGTGTGACCGCGGAACATGCTTGTACTTCACTGTAGTTTGACGGAGGCAAACATGATTGACACACTTTTCGAACTCCACCTGTGCATCCAATTGAGTTAACCAGAGTTGCCGGGCGAACCCAACAATCAACTGTATTCCCCCGAGGGTACCTTGCATTTAACACATTTAACACATGCATTGTTCAAACGGAGCATTCTCAAATTGACACCCGCACTTTGAGCGCTAATTCCCACAAAATGCATGCACATTTAAAGGTTGAAGGCTATATGTGTCAAGACTTTTTTGGATGCCTTGAGTTTCCATTTGCTTGCAGCAGTGGCTTGAGCATGTGAGGGAGTTGTCGAAGGTTCAACAGCTCATAGAGAGAGGACAATTTGGTATTGGCCAGTCTTACAAACTCCTACGAGAGGCAACAGCTTTCAAGGGGGAGTCCTTGTCCACCTGGTTTAGTATATAAGCAGCCAGGAAGGACATATTGTATGTTCACGTTTGTTGTGTGTTCTTTGAGTTCGTTTGCTGTGGGAAGACAGGGTTCCCAAAAATCATGTGAGCCGTTTTTTGCACAGCGTTGTAGTGCTTTTTGCTTTGACAATTGTTTCTGCATCGGAGGCGCGGTCTGTTGGAGCTGGGCTGGAGTGTAGAGATGCGCTATCACCATGCCAAATTGCCAAAGGCGATCTTGCACTGAGCTGTACAGCGCTGGTCCGTCTTTAACCAGTTTGTGGTCACAATAGCCGTTCTCGCTTGGGCTTCTCTTACATGATCTTACATGGGCCCAAATGCTCCAAAGCCACTTCAAGTCCTTCGGTGTACAGGGTGGACGAAGCTGCCCAGGAAAACCGGGGATGCATCGAGAAACGCGTGTCCCACTTTCGGCGTGATTCTCGAACATCAGGAAACAGCTCGACGAATTCCATCCAGAATTTCAGGAATCTCTTTCTGGCCTTCCGTCACTTGGGAGAAGTGCGGAGAGCACTGGGTTCTGGCCACAGGCGTCCACGCTGCTGCCATTAGGAGTCAGCATATGTTGGCCGGCCCCAACAGGTACGTCGACGTTGTTGGTGAGCCCGGTGAGCTTCCATGTCCATCACATCATTGCCCAAATGTCTGGCTGATTTTCTCAGCCCCACACAACCAGGACGTCCCAACTGTCCCAACGACTGTCTACACCGCCGGGCAAAGGGCAGAGTTGGTCCTTGCGATAGGCTTTAAAGTGCCTGCAGATGCCTGCATTTGGCATGCTTGAAACGCTTGATTCTTGATATCATCATGCTAGGGGCTACCGGTTCCTTGTATTTGGAATAGAGTGCTTGGCGCGAACATGTAGCCAAAGGGCCTCAGGGCGCTGGTTTGGTTTGGCGTGTCAAGCACGTCAAGGGCGATTCGCGGTGATGGGTACCGATCTATCCTTCCCTCGTGTGATCAGTACATGGCATCCTGGCAGATCCAGCATCATGCCTTTATTCCATACTTGAAACCGGGCACACACAAATAACATCAAATAAACACCAATTGAATTGCTTGTGTCTCACACCCCCTCTTTCCTGACTGCTCATCCCAAACCAATCCACGTTCAAGCGTTCAAGCGTTCGCATCCATCACCGGTCCTTCCATGTCCTTCCCACACCCACGGCCCTTTGACGGTCGGCGTTGCTCGGTCCGTGTTTCACTCCACCCAGGTGCCGCGTTCTTGGCGCCCGCGGCGTCGAGGCGATGGTAGTGAGGGCCCAGCATGGGATTCATCTGGCGGGGTCGAGGGCCAGAGGCGTGGACCAGCTGGGCTTTGCAGAACATTCCAAAGTGGGGATGATTCTCAACTGCTTGGCTCTTGGTGGTCGGGATCCATACGGAAATTCAAGGGTGACTACTGTAGTAGACTAGCATCTTGAAAACAGCTTGGGGAGGCTATACCAATATGTTTCAGTAAAAGGATCCTTTTGAGTTGAGTTGAACTGAACCTATCCAGTACAGGCTTTAGGAGGCCTCCCGGTATGTACATAATTAATAATCTCACGCCGGGAAAACCACCCGGCAGAGTTGGAAGCTGGAGATCCTTGTGTTGTCTTTTCTGGAGTCTGCTGAAGTCTTCAAGGAGGTTGAATGAGCTTAGCTGCCTAGAATGCCAAACAAATGCTCTTGCCCGCGTCAAAACGCAAAGAAACGACAGACGTATTTGGCATTGGCCCTCAAAAAAGTTTACCCCGCTCCTTGGCTCGCAATCCACCAAGGCCCAGCTGTATGGTCTCTGAAAGTGTTTCCCGACATACACAGCATCACACAGCATGGGATTTCATGTTTGCCAGGCGAGCGACCGCGTGGTGTGCCTCGCTCGCCTTGCCTTCTTCCTCAGGAGAGCAAAAAAATCAAAAAACAGTCCTACCTCTTAGTGTAGCCTTGAAACCTCAAAGGATGCGGGACCTACACGGGCACAAAAGGGTCTCTTTTATCTCTGCTTGCCACCCTCCAACAAATTTGGAAGTGCATAACAAGACCCCTTGTAAGACGTTTATTCTCGAACATTCAAAAACTCCTACCAAATTGACTTGGGGAGGGCGTCTCATCATTGCCATGAGTCCCACCCCCACCTGGAGAAACGAGCAGTGTTTCCACTCACAGCATTGACCTGGTTGAAAAACCGCCGCCGCCGCCACGGGTTTGGAGCTCTCACGTCACCTCGTAAGACACGAAACCACCATCCAGGATGATCGTCACAATGAGGATCAAGACCTGGATATCTGCGGAATCCGACCAGGTTTAACACCTAGTCCGCCAACTGGTCGACAGCTATTTGAGGGCTCTTCCACTCCCAGCCCAAACGAATGGGACTGGAACAGGCGCCATAGATTTACCCCATCCAAGTGACCCTCATGTAAGTGACTGTGCCAGTCATATGGGCGGTCTGGGAATAGCCAGTAGACCCAGTTGGACTGGAATATTTATCCGATTAACTGACCATTTCGATGAAAACTGTTGTTACAATCCCAGTTTCTGAAGGTCCATGTGAGATGTCCTCCATCTGATATTTATGTAGGATGGTACGGGATGTTTTTGTTCAACTATAGTCTCATGCGACGTGCCCAACCAAAATTATATTGAGATTCTTGGGCGGTGAGTTCATGGGCGCTCCAAACGATAAGGTGAGTTAGGAGAGGCAAAAAAACAATCATGCCGCCAGGTGATTCCATGTTTGTTCATTGGGTGTTTCTTGTTAGTGACAATTTTCAGATTGGTGGACGAATCTGCTCAGCCAGTCAATCCAAACTTGACCCTTGTATGAGCTGGATTGGGCTCGGGCACCACGTCTTTTTGGCGCTGTGTCACGCTCGGCTTTCAAGTGTTGCTAGCAAGGTCACCAAAGGATGGAAGGAAGGTAAAAACGGTCTGGCAATGCGGAGTAGCTCTCGAATTCGAGAATCCTGTTTTTGTTGTACACTGTTAGCCAGCCAATCAATGGTAAAACCTTCCAAACATTTGAAGCATACCGTATGGCAGCCTCTCTCGCAATGAACACCATCAACCATGGTTTCTTCGCACTTGTCACATCGCGTTGGCTGTTCATTAGATGGATAGTACCTCCGCCAGGCAGTGCCACACTGTCTTGGTCTTGTTCTTCCGAAATCTCTTAATCGACTCTGCTCGAGTACTTCCTGCAACCTTTTGCCGGAAGCTGTGGCCTTCCGCTCTACATTCGTTTCAAGAAGTTTTCGACCAAAGCGGCGGAGTGCAATTTCACTTGAGAACTGGAAGTGATCATTCGGATCACATGAATGGAGATCATTGGCAAGCTGTTCGATCACAGAAACAATGTGGTGCTCCGCGCTTGCACGTGCAAGCTTCGCTTCTTTCAAAACATATTCTGCCTCTGCTTTTGCCTCTGCAGCATCGTTTGCTCTTTCTTCTGCATCCGTTGCACGTTGCTCAAAAACGTTGACTTTCTCCTGTGCAGTTATCTTTGCTTGCTCCGCATCTGCCACTCTTTGTTCTGCATCTGCAACACGTAGCTCTAAAGCTTTGGCTTTCTCCTGTGCAGTTACCTTTGCTTGCTCCGCATCTGCCACTCTTTGTTCTGCTTCTGCAACACGTAGCTCAAGAGCTTTGGCTTTCTCCTGTGCAGTTTCCTTTGCTTGCTCCATATCTGCCACTTTTTGTTCTGCATCTGCAACACATTGCTCAAAAGCTTTGGCTTTCTCCTGTGCAGTTGCCTTTGCCTGCTCCGCATCTGCAGCCTGCTGCTTGGCATTTGTAAACGAGTCTACCCACGGTGCTCTCAAATCAGACAGTAACTTTTGCTTTGCATCTTGCGCTGAGCGCAAATAGTCATCCACCGTGTTTGCTGACCCACATGGAACCTTCCACAAGGAAATCAAGCGAGCACATGCCCTCAGGTCGTCGCTTAACGCTTTCAGCTGCTGCAACCGCACATCGCAAGTCCTTAACTTGTTGCATGTGTCAAGGTCCACGAACCAGTCGTAGCGCATGTTCAGATTGGTGAACTCGGCACTCAGTTCCACAGCCTGCCTGCCCCTTGTAGCAGCCTTCATCTTGGCGTTCAAGTTCTCTGAAAGCTCAAACACATTGAAAGGAGTGTTGGCACCCAGAAGCTCTTGCAAAGCGGCTGTGAATGGGCTTTTGCTGCTTTCGCTGGACCCATCATCGCTTTGACCACCTGACATGCAAGAGTAAATCATCACTTGCTGACGCTCACGCAAGTTCTTGCGAAGCTTCACCCTTCGAGGCAAATGCATCTTGGCTTCACATTGCTCCCGGCAGGCATCCCAAAATAGGATGACGCCGACATCCTTCACAGGATCAGCCGGTGACTGTGATTGCCGCACCAGCTCATCCAACCGTCTGTTCAGTCGTCCAATGTACTCATCGACGTACACCTCAGTATTGTCAGGCAGCTTCAAAACCAGGTGGCCATCTTTCTCTTCACCGTGACATGCCACATGCAGGATGACTGCATAGGTCCTGGTGTGCAAAGACTGCAAGAAGTCTTCAAACAACTTGTCTAACACACTCCCTCCCACATCCTTAGCAGAGCTGACTGTGTATCCTAGGTCCGTGAACGTCTTCTCCAAAGCATTTGCATCGTTCATGGTGTTTGGCAACTCCTTCATGGTTTGGTACGAGGACATTGCGATGGAAAACATTTGCCGTGAAGTCGCGTCAAGTTCCCTTTCGGGGTCTGGATCGGTTGCTTGAGGATCCGTTGAGTCCATAGACCACACATTGGACTCATCTTGGTGCCCATGCTCATACAAAGGACTCTTGGCAGACTTGGAACCATAGTTTGATGCACCAAAGCCTGGGAATCTGTAGTCTTGCAAAGATCTGGCAGGGGATTTGGAGGCTCAGGCACCTGTGCTCTGCAATGTCTCCCTGCCGGACATCTAGGGGAAACGTCTTGCGAGTTCAGAAGCACATCCTCGAATGGTGCAACTGTGGCTGCTGACATATCTTGAGAAAAAGCCAAACGGCCGAAGCTCTGAAGTGCAAACACTGGACGTGTGCAAATGGCATCCGTGATCCTCTTTTGTGGCTGCTTGAACTTTTCATAGAGGGACACAGTCACTGAGGTTGCTCCGATTGTCAGGTCATGAAGGGAACCCTGTAACCATGTGCCCAAGCTGTCCCGATTTTCATGATCTGGCTGATGAAGTGCATCTCCTGCAAATTGGTAGCCTGTTTCTGCTGAATCCACGCTCTGGCAAAGGTCTGGCAAGGGATTTGGAGAGCTAGGACTCACGGCACAATGAGACCTCGGAAGGGGATCTCTCGGCTGGACGTCCTGCAAGTCCAAAAACACATCTTCCAACCGTCTGGTTTTGGCTTCTCTCATACTTTGACGGAGTGCCAAACGCCCCAGGCTGTCACCTAAGCTCTCGAGTGCACCCATCGGACGTGAACAAATGGCATCGGTCAGCCTCTTTTGTGGATCCTGGAATCTTTGATGCCACGCCATCGCCATCGAGAGGATGCTGTCGGAAGGCGCTGTGCCGCTACGCAAGCGCTATGACTCTCCCGAGGTTGTTGAACAAGCTCTTCTTTCTGTGCTTTGTGCTTTGAGGGTCATGCATCTTCATCGGGGAATTGACCAAAAACATGTCAAAGGACCTGGTGTCTCAACATATCTGTGGGTGGGTCAAGACTTATTATTGTGTTTTTTTGTGTAGAACTCTACTCAAGACATCCACCAGCAAACTGTAATTGTTCTCAAGCATCCCGCACGTCAAATCGCAGCATTAGTTCAGGCCAAAACAAACTGACACATTGTTTCAACACAATTCGACAAAGCCAACCTAGCACGTGTTCAAACTACTCCTCCAGACTTCGATGACTAAACACATCTCTACTAATTCTCAGCTATGTACTCCCAGTATGTAGATCTTAGTGCTTCCTCTGCCTCCGAGCTTTCTCTTCTGTCTTGGCACACCTTTGGTGCCATCAGCTGCGATATCAAGGCTCGGCACGCTGGCAAAAGTTGCTGCTCCAACGAGGCACACAAGGAAGATGGTCCAGTTTCTGAGTATTTCTCTACAGCAGTTTCTCACACCATGACTACCCCCTTCTAGAGATGATTAAACATCATTACCTCATCAGTGTTAGTCTCAGTGGCGGCATGTTGGATCGATTTCATTCGCTCCTGGATGCGCGGACGTGGATTCGCACCCGAAGCTGTCGTACCCAACAGGGGATGGGACATGACCCGGGAGAAACATGGCAGGGACTTGGGTTTCATGATGCCCCGTGCTTTTGGGTTCTTGGATTCCAATTACTCATCTGTAATTATGTATATACTTGAAAACTCCAAGACCTCTTTCGCCCAATCATGATTTTCTGAGGTAAGTATCTTGGCAATGTCAACTCATTTCCAGAGTAGGTGTCAGGAGTCAACTGTTTGATCTGCAAACCAGCAGAGTAACCCATAGTAGTCAGTTCACACTCAATCTTCCACGGGAGCTCTAAGGAATTTCCATGAAATTCTTGGCTCCCAAACATCACCACCAGACCTCCTGCGGTCGAACAAGAGCCACCCGAGAGTGACGACTCAAGAGCCTGCACCACGGAGAGAAGAAAGGCCACCCTGGGGCGGATTGGCAAAAAACCGCAAGGATTCGAGGATTGGCAGCGCGGTTTGTCACTGGCAGCTTGCCACTCAGCTTGCCTCTCAAACAGGAACCAAGACTTGGTGCCGTTTCGCTTGGTTGGCTCAAAGCCCATAATAAAACCGCATGTGACTCTCATAATCCTCGTAGGAGCTGAGTTTGTGAATCACCAGGGTGAACGAAAAGTAATGCTGGGGAAGCTCTGCTAGAAGTTCTCCAAAACTGACCCCCGATGCCCGGAGATTGGATTATGAGATTCTCTTGGGCCAAGGCCCACCTGCAACCATGTCCTAACACCATCCAGGGGACTGGCCCATTGAACCAACGAAAACAACAGCTGTTTATAACGAATACGAGATAATACGAGTGCATTTTGTTGTATCTTTAACTCATCCCAAAATGCAATGACCAAAGCCAGTTCTGCCTGTATGCTGCCCTGGCAACATTCCATGTGAGGTGGACCAAGGGGTGTACTCTAAAGTTCCCTCTCTTTTTAACTCTCTTCTCTGCAGGGGCCCCTTTCAGGTAGGACGGTTCTCGATCTTACCGTGTCTCCTGTCTCTTATTGTTTTTCGTTTTTATTTAACGGTATCGTGTTTTGGTCACCTGTTGACTTGATGTGTGTGTTGCTCCTAGTTGAAGGTTGGTTCAACAGGAGAAGCAGCTGAGGACAAGTCCGGACAATGCAGAACCTCCTTTTGTTCTACTATGTTCTACTCATTTTGCAAAACAAAAAGTTCTATGTTTTCTTTTATGTGCTTTCCCACTTGCTACGGATTCATAAACGCCCAACTGCAAACAAGTCTCAGTCTTAACTGTTGTTCGGACTGAATTGCATAATTTCCCCAGGCTCAAACAAGGAACCAACTACCGAGCGAACCCCTATTTCGATTCGTAAAGAACCCTGCCAGGGGTGGCATGTAATAGACCTCATTTGGGAGCTGAGGTTCAATCAGGCGAGCGGAAAACTCACGTCGCCGCTCATGTATCTTGGATACGGCGATTGACGCATCTCTTTTTATCATTACATATATAATAGATATTAATAGATCATAATGGAGAGATCATATATTACATATATAGATCATTAATAGATCATTAATAGATCTATATTACATATAGACATGGAGAGATCATAATAGTCTCTCCATGTCTCTCTAGTCAGGAAGTCTCACCCCGACCTGGCACCTCCGAGCGAGCCGACTCTCCGATGAAAGTCGACGCCCGGTGCGTCGCGCAAGAAGCGTTTGGGAGCCCGAACGACAGCAAGAAGCGGCGCCAGGCGCGCTGGGCCTCGGGTGTCCTGCTGGAAGAGAGAGTTTTCGGTACCAGGTAGGTGATGAACGGTCTTCACGATGTGCTGGAACGGAGAGCATGGCCGATGTGAAAAAACTATCTGGATCAACAGCGAGCCTCTATTGGGATATTATACAATACCTTTATGTTGACCCTAGCCTTCAAAGACCACTATATAAAGAAATGGTTGACCTGGTTTCGTAGTGTAAAAATCCTTAGTAAAACAATTATTGTTCTTCAACGTTTCGGATCTTTAGGGTTTTTCAGCATGAATTTACACTGCCTGACATCATCATGGAAGTGGACAACAGGCCCCACGAAGACCCGTTTTCCTCGGCAAACAGGTGCCAGCCACTTCCAAGTGAATGACTCGGAGAATGGGATCTCCTGGGTATTAGAATAATGGATCCCGGGAGAGAACACAGCCATTGAACAGGGATGAACAGGGAATATATGGCTGGACATACGACACGTCACTGGATCTCCGAAAACAACAATCGAGCAGAATTGCGAGCATGTTCACCGTGCTTAGCCTGTTGAAGTTGACCCAGTTCCGTTCGGAAAAGGAACCCCCCAAACCCAAAGCGCTGTCCAACAACAAACCAACCTGAATCCCGCCTCATTACTCATGACGACTCGATTCAAAACTCATAGGAAACTCGTTGGAGAACCAAAATGCCCTCCAAGGTAGGTGCGACAGAATACACAAAACCATGCCGCTTCAATGTTCACATATCATCCTACCTTCTTTTAGAACTTGCTACTCGCCCCAAGCGCGCTCTCCATGTATATACCCCATGGCCAATGGGCACCGCTTCGTTTGGCCAACACAATCCCATCCGGGAACCACAAGAAACGTGTCTGTTCAAAAAAATGGAGACACAGAGATGGGAGATGATGCTTAGTTCGAGTTTCAATGTGAGTCATCTTGAAGTTTGTACCAAGCCGGCTTCGTTTTGCCAGCCTTGTTTGTTCCAAGACCATTCACGTTTGGTCAGGAGTTTGTACAGGACCGGATCCTTCGCCCAGCCATTTTCGGCAGAAGCCACTGCGGCAAGCCGCACCTGGATCAGGTCTCCTGATCCATTTGTGCCAATGACCGGGGACCGGGATAAGGTTTTGACTCCTGAAAAATAGATCAATTCCTTTTATCACCAGGAGGTCAAGTTGCCATGATTGGGCCAAAAATTGACAAAACACTTCAAGTTGCGCCCGGAAGTTTTTCTTCGTCCTGCAGCCCACCATGCAGCAAGGGCAACAGGCGAAGCAGCATTTCACGCCAGGAGATGGTTTCTGGCGGCCAAAACAGGATGGCAGAAACCGACCGCTTGACCAAGTGGGGTGAGTGCCCCCCCCTGCGAAGCACAGCGCGATGGTTTGTTCGGATTCAACATGGCCGTGACGGAAATGTTTCTCAGATGCTCCATGAAACTGGAACATATGCCGTCACATTGACCCCTTTTCAACCGCCCCAGTGTAAAATTTTCCATACATGGTCACATACTGTTGCATGGAGGTTCTGGGCTTTGGGTTCCAATGTTTCCACCGTGAACGGCCAAGCCCGGGCCTTGGCCTTCGACGGAAGCCACCCACTGATCGGATTTGGAGAAGGAACACCCCGGTTTCATTATAGCGAGGTTTGATTTCAACATTGTGCTGTGAAATCTTTTCGAACTCTGCAGTGGCCAACATGAACCTTCTACTGTCAAGGCACTTAGGTGCCAACATGTTTGTGGGTCCGAAATTGTTGCATGGATTCGAGAAACAGGGTCGTCTATATTATAATGGATATGGTTGTGGAATCGGTGCCGCTGGTGTCCTGCTCTACGATCTTGCCTTGGCCACATGTCTCCAAAGGGGTACGCGTGACTACACCTTCCACCGAGTGTCCAATGGAGACCCAGAAACAAGGTAAAATCATCGTCTTTCTGAATAACACCAACGCAACTACTGAACTCGCCACATCCGTGAACAGTGAACAAATCTGCGCAGCACAGCAACTACGGCTACTGGGTGGAGGGGTTTGCCTTGAAAGTGGAGTAAGGCGCCTAATTGATAGGGATCTTAGCTCACGAGTCATATTTGTTTATTTGATGCAAGCACCAGATAGATGAATAACCCCCGCCCCTTACATCCCCTTACAACGTCAACGAGGTCTGAGGAACCATTCATGACGTTAATCCCCTAAACAATAATTGCTAAAACAAAAAAATGGAACAATATAAGCCATCGAACCATGAAGGTTAAGGTCTGAGGGGGGATGAACATGACACGCATGAGACCAGGGTTGATATTAGGAAACAATATGACTAACAAACCTCTTCTAGCTATTTCAATGAAACATATTTGTTTGGTTGCGTGGTTTGGGTTCCTGGATCTATTTAACACCTACAAGCCTATGCAGTGTTAAAGTTCAACACCAAATTATATCAAATCTATTTCAATCTGGGCGGGTTCTGGAACTGCTTCGATCTAACTAACTGGGGTTTATTTCTCCTAAGCTTGCAATATCGTGATACTGGCGCAAACAAAAGCACAACGCGAAACGTGGGCGTTGCACTGCGGAGGATTGTCAACAACGATTCTAGTTATAAAGAGGCAGGTGATGCCATCACACAATGTGACTGGCCAGGCTTTGAGAGTTGGCGACAGGCTACTTCAGGGCAAACGGCCCTGAGTCTTGACTTTTGAGCCTTAACTGTTGTATGAGCGCATCCTGGCGGAACCATTAGTTACACACTTGTTGCACGCTTTGCTTTACAGAGGTTGCCCACGCAACATGGAACATTATGAGATGTGCGAAGTCATCTGCGAGGGTGGTCTGTGAATCTCCAAGTTAAAATAGTTCTACGGCGATCATTGAGATGGCAAGAAAACTTCAGAGCATGTCTGCTTCAAACGGCGTGCAAGGTCCAAAACAGGTCACAAAAAAGGCCCTTGAACGGCCATGATTCATGACGGGACTTCATCAGTCCTTCAGCAAGGAGATCGGCAACAAATGCAAAACAAGACAAATATGACAAATAAGTGAACGTAGACGCACGAGGGCCTTGCATGGTCAGGAGTTCACCACTACAATGGCACAGCGGTGAAACATAAAAGGCCACTCATCACTAATCCCTTTTGCATCTGCCAATAAGGTTGCAAAAGCCACTGTTGCTAATATCTTGGTGATCTTGCCGCAAACTTTGCAAAGCAAGGAACACCGCGCTCCAACTTTGCATGTCAACTGCTGGAAGGCCCAGGTTTCTTCAGTTTGTGACCTGTTTGGAGTCTCTAAGTGACCTTTGTTGTGACCCCTGTCATGATTGGATCTCAAGTTCGGTCACTTTTGAATGACCTCACCAGCATGCGACCTCACCTCCATCACCCAAAGCGTCCCAAAGCGACGTTCGTCCGAACGCCCGGATCTCCCGAGGGTTCTCCGGATCTTCCGAGAGGACATCGCTTACCGCCTCCCGCAGCTCGCCTCCCGCACGATTTCACCCCACCTGAGGGAAACGACGTCGAGTTTTTCTCCGTCAAATGCAGCTGCCGAGGTATCGAGGTATACAAGTGCCATATCGAGGTATGCGTCTGGGATTTGCAGGAACATGTCCGCTTTCAGGAACGTGAATAAAGGGTCTTCATGTGGATGTCCTTGTGTAAATATGCATGATAAACCAAAAGGACACAAAGTCTGCTTATAAATTCAAGCTGAACCAAAGGGTCAACCCCCAAAACCACCACCTGAATTCCCCTGGCTCTAAATCCCCCCCACCCTGCCACCATCTCTCACCCCGGTTGAACCGCTCACTCTGCTCGTAGGGAGCCGCGCACGGGGTCCACCATGGCATACTGCACCGGGACGCGGACCTCCACCGGCGCCTGGGCAACGAGTCTGTCAGTGATTGAAGGGGAAGGTTCTCAACCGCTCCAGTCGTGCCGAACCTCAGGTTCGGTATGACTGGACCCGAACATGGCACCCAGGCGCCCCCAGTCTCACCTTCTCAGCAGGTACGACTGGAGCCCTAGGTTCTCAACTGACGCTGTGCTTCATCCCATGGGAACACTGCGTCGGATGGGTTGATGGGTGGCAGGCCGTTCCAGAAACCCCCGGTGCCAGGGGGTTCTCAACTGACATGGGGTGTGGATCTGTGGATCATGGCACGAGGCGCCATGGCACGAACTAGCTGGATTTGTTCTGGTCATTCGTCGGTTCTGTTCATTTTCGGTTGGGAAAAATGGAAAAACCTGGTGCCATGACCCACAGCCCACATGGCTGAATTTGAAGGGGATTTGAAGGAGTAGACTGACATTGAGCTCATGTTGGCAAAGGATCGCACCTCACCAATCACCTAAAATCATCCTTCGCGGCCGAATCCACTGGAAGCCCTTGACCACCGCCCACCCAACAACTGGAAAGAAGTCTAACTCTTTTGGATGATTCAAATGACTGGTCCTTAGTCAGGAATGCGGGTGCCTCGGTCCGAAGTGTATCTATCGTCGATATTATTCTTTCCGAATCGAGCCGCACTAGTCCATCAGGCGCCAGCAAAGACCAAGTGTCTATAGGTGATCAGTATCTCGTCACTCTCTTCACTCCCTCCCCACGCCACTCGAAACCGGCGACCCTCTTCCTCGAAACCACTGGCGACCGTCTTGCGTTGCCAGACACATCGCCTGTGGGCTTTGTAGTTCCGCTGCCTGGCGGAAACACAAAACGAAGTTCAGGCCATGAATCAAAGCAGCAGCACGGGTCCGCACCCTCTCAAGATGGATATTGGATGGCAAACCGCTAGTGGGAGGGTCTATAAGAGTCTAAGAGTCTGTAAACCACCCATGTAGTGGGTGGTGCTGGCATAGCAAACCTATGGCGGGTGTCGAAAGAGCTTACATATATAGTTGATTTGTTCACGAGTGTGGGTAAATCCAAAGGGAATAGTTTTTTTCTTTATGCTAACGGTTCCTTTTTTTATGCTGGATTTGGGTGGGTTCTTTTATTTATGCTAAGGGTCTTTTTTTATGCTGATGGTTTTTATTTTTATGCTGAGGGTTTTTATTTTTATGCTGAGGGTTTCTATTTTTATGCTGAGGGTTTTTAATTTTATGCTAACGAATGTAATTGTCGCGGGGCTTTATTGAAAAATGTAATTGTCGCGGGGCTTTAGTGGAGAATGTAATTGTCGCGGGGCTTAGTGAGAATGTAATTGTCGCGGGGCTTTATTGGAAGGGCGGCGGCTCACCTGCGCACACAGATTTGACTCATCTGCGCACACACATTTTGTTAGCACTTGCGCCTCATCTGCGCACACAGATTTGACTCACGCGCGCACACAGTCCATCGGGGAGACTCAAGTGCGCACAAAGGCCCTTTCCCGCATGTTTGCTCACATGAAAGGGTCGTCAAGATGGAATGGCCACTTCCTCCTCTAAACTTTACCCCTCCACTGGCTCACCAAAGGGTGCAACTTGGAATGACCACTTCCTTCTCTAAATTTTACCCCTGCCTTGCCCACAAAAGGGTGAGTCAAGTTGAAATGCAACATCCTTCTCTAAATTTTACCCTCGGGTGGCTCACCAAAGGGT